CACAGTTTATGACTGGAAAGTATCACAGTTTATGGTTGGAAAGTATCACAGTTTATGACTGGAAAGTATCACTGGAAAGTATCACAGTTTATGGTTGGAAAGTATCACTCTGGGAAGTATCAAATTTTGGTACTTAAAAGTACCACTCACTGGATAGTATCAACACTTTTTACTGGAAAGTATCACAGTTTATGACTGGAAAGTATCACTTTGGGAAGTATCAAAGTACAAGGCCGATCCTACGTGTAACGTGTAATATCGACTTGCAGATGAATGTAGAGATTAAGGCCACTCACACAGTCGATATAATACCTGCCAAGTAGTCCCGGTTGGGCCAAAACCTACAGAAACTTACTCGCCAGATGGTTCATTGCGACTGAAAAGTTATTGGCATCGTCGATTCCAGTGTATGTGGATATCTAGTATATTCCACAGGTTATAATCGCGTGCGTGGTTTAAAAAAAGTTTGGGCGGCTCTTAATCTTTTGTAAATATAATAATAGTTGAGTACGGAAGACTAGTTTGGAAGTATAACTATGTACAACTATGTATAACTATGTACAACTATACGTTGAACATATTCTCCGGATTGTACAATTATAAGCTTTTTAGAAACTTTCTTAGGTATATTTTTATATATTTAGCTCATTTTCCGTCATTTTACTAAGTGACAATTGCCTTGGTTTCTCTGTAATTTCTTTTATTACACCTAAATAATTATGTTATGTATTATTTTAGCATCAAAATTTTACTACTTTAGTGACTTTTTACAAAAGTCATAGGATACAGCTTTCAAACAAGATGAAACTACCCTTTCGTTTAAATACTGTAAAACATTTAAAACAATATTTTTCTGTACCCTTAAAATTTATTTTAATAAATTTTCATGAAATATTTTTTAGTTGACTATTATTTCTTTTACGTAGGCCTAAGATGTCAACCTAATGCTTTTCTTTGGTAGTTTTTTTCCCAAAACCTTATTAATTAAATTAATTTGTTTCAACTCAAATATGTAAATGTCTTTACCAAATACACGTAAACAAATCTAATTAACAATTTCATTTTGAGATGTCCGATAGCATAACAAACTATCCGATTTTCAAAGGACACTAAATTTAATCTTCAGCTTCTAAAGATGCAGCTGCTAAGGCAAAGTTTGACGTTGGTCGGCTTCATAGCCACTATCGACTTTGTTGGACATAGTTGATGTCTTTGAGACTCTAAACACATAATCCTTGCTGGTCATCTGGTCAATTATATCAACATTGGAGTTCGATGAGTTACGACTAAATACTGTAAAATATTGATTGAGTTTCAATATTTTCAGAGTTCTTTTTCTATTTCCAAGTATCTTAAATTATAGAAGTAAAGTATGCGTTAGATATACACTTAAAAGTCTGTCAGATTTAAAAATTATTATTATAGAGTTTTTATCTTAAATTTAATTTAGATGTAGAATCGTTCAAAAACCATATCATGGATATGCTGTTATGTAATCGGTTGCTATCACTAAAACATACAACATATATACGAGATAAATACATGTACATTTAATATACATTAAATATGCATACATAAAAACTAACGTTAGTGTTGATCAACATTTTAGATTTTTTGCACAATACAACTTTAAAGTTGTACGATATAAAATTAAATCGTTTACATTATTTATACATTTTCAGTGATTTAATTTCGTATTAATTCAAACCGACTTACAAATCCAAACGTAGTTTGGTTACAAATCCACTCAACTACATGAATACTCGATTAACGGTTAAATTAACTGCGGATTTTGAAATAAACTACCATATTAAGTTGTTGAGCTCTATTGATTTTGGTAATATATCCATCTATACTCGTATTATTAATACGCTACATGAAACTTTGTGAACAATAAGGCTTTTTGTTTTAAGATTTAACTCCTCATATTATATACCAAAATGTTCGTCTAGGTGTGAAGATTTGCTAACTGACCTTACATTTTTGAAAAAGTCCCTTGGGTTCTGCCCCAGTGGCTTTTAAAGTTTCCAAGTTATCCTTTTGAAGAACATATTTATTTACATTATGATTAGCTGGATAATTTAATTCCTGTAATTATTATTTTAGTTGCAATTTAAGAAAACATATGCTAAAAAGGATATTTAAACAGAAAAAAAAATAATTCTATAACCACTTATTGAACATTGTATAATTTTACCCGGGTTTTGCGGCTAGTAAACATTAATTAGCGTTTATAGTTTACTTACCGTTATATGTTTTACAATTTAATATATTATTTTTTGTTCTATTTGAAAAGAATATTACAGATTACTTTGACAACTTCTAAATGTAGTTTCTTTCGCATTTAATCATGAATCTGCAAATATATTGAAGCGGCAAAAGCAACAAATCATTTTCTGAGTCAATTAGAACAAGCTCCAGTAATTTATCATCCAGTAAAGAATGTTCCTCTCGCAATTCTAATAAACAATGATCCAACGACTTGAGATTCTTGTTAAAACTATTTTTAAATAAATCTTCTATATTATTAATAAACTACATGAAACTTGGTGAACAATAAGACTTTTGTTTTAAGATTTAGCCCCACATATTATATACCAAAATGTTTGTCTAAATGTGTAGATTTGCAGCCTGACCTTACATTTTTGAAAAAGTCTCTTGGTCTCTGCCCCAGTGCCTTTTAACTTTTCCTTGTTATCCTTATGAGTAACATATTTGTTTACGTTATGATCAGCTGGTTAATTGCTGTTGTGCTTCAAACATTTACTGACTTGGTTGAAATGAATATTTACTATTTTAATTTGGATTGGCTTAATATATTGCAATAGAAAAAATAGAAAAAAGCCTGGTCAGTTTGATATACAAGAAAATTGAATTAACACTGTGCTGAATTTTTTGAGCAATCATTGCAAGAGCTGATCTGCAAACTATGGAAAAATAGGAAAGTCATAGAACACCATCAAAAAGAAAAACTAGAGGTCATTTTTTCAGAATTTATAATTGTACAACCTAATCAGGCTATGAGTGAGAAACATTTATAGAAAACACTAAAAAAAACCCAGCTTTTGTTGATTTATCAACAAGAAATGTTGATTATATCGAACGAACATCATATACATCATTAGTACTTCCATAATCCTTGAGTCGACTTTTTTAAAGTCATCGGAAAGTATGACTGTTATTGGTGTTAAAATAATGCCCGTAATACCTCGCAATTGCTTGAATTCGAGCCACAGGTACACTGGTTTTCTTGTTTAGTTTAGCTATCTAAAGTTTTAAGATATCTATAATTTTTTCATGACTGTTCAACCTCTTAAAAGGCATATTGTGTGAAACCTCTACTAAGATTCCAACAATTCACTGTAATTTGTGCAACAATTAAAGCAACATTTTCTGACCAAGATTAATTAATAGTTCTACACTATATGATTTTTAGTTTCACCTACTAGTAAAGTGAGTTTTTTATTTCCACCTTGATAAAGTTTTAAAATCAATGAAAAATATTTGCCGTGTGAAATAATTAAAATTATTATGAACAGCCTATTGAAACATCATCTAAACTATATTTAACGTGTACGAAAGAAAAATTGTAACCGAAATAGAAAAATAATATATAAATAATAATATTGTAATATAGATTAACATGTTTTTTACAGAACTTTCTTTACTGTTAACTATTACATTATATCTTAATGGTATTACTCTACACATACACTTAATCAAATGTTAGCGCATTAACATTAACGGAGATGTTTTAAATTAAATTTCCACAAAATACACTCGTCGCCGGTATTATTGCACAAATTATGTTTTCTCTACTTTTGCAAAGATTGAATAGACGGTCTGTCCACAAAGAACGCTTTTGATTAACTTGTCAAGCTGGATTGGTTTTAACATTTAAAATGTGTTTTTTTCTTTTAAATTGGTAGTTTTGTATATTAACGGCATTTTACTGCATCTAATACAATTTTTTTTAATTCTTTTGTTAGTGTTTACACATAATATTTGCATAAGCCATACGTAGTTCAACAAGCTTTTTGTTTTATGAATGTGTTCTCATGACTTATTTTAGATACTTTATTTGATATTTATATTTACAATATATATTTATTATACAATTTAAATAGCCAATCAATTATTTTAACTAGTGTATACTATGTATTTACTGATTTAAAATTGTGTAATATTAAAGTACGCCAAGTAAATTAGTTTGAAACACAAGCAAAATGTGTTATCTGTAAATTTAAACAAGTTTAAACAGTCAAAATATTAAAACATTTAACAGTTTTACAAGTTAATCCTATTTTTCATTTTATCCTTAATTTCTATTTATCCGTTTTCTAATTCGGAGATAAATAATATATTATACTGTAATAACGATTCCACCGAACGTTCCCTATTTGATTACAAAATCAAACACTTAATAAAACATTCAATAGGTACCCTAGTATAATATTTTGCAATACTTTTATTAATGCCGTCATTGAACTAAGAAAAAGATTTTAACTCAAATTAGTAATTACATTTAAACACCTCATAGTATTTTTAACAAATAGGCTACTATGTTTTTTTACATTTCTTACGACTTTTATTACTTATAGTTTTCCCCTTTGTGGTTTCTTTAAAAACTATTTTGGGGTTTACAAATATAAAAATTCCATTAGCTGATTAACACTTTCGAATCATTTCTAGATCAAGTTAAAACTTTCCAAAGTGTAAAATAGCAGCTCCGTAAGCAAAAAAAATTTAGGAATGCTGTTTAAAATTTTAACGTTGGTTTCAACTTTTAAAATCCATTAAATTACAAAGTATTATATTTTTTAATTATTACCATCTCTGAAAACCTAAAAATTTAACAGTGTCGAAAGTTGTCAAACTTTCCGACGAAACGTGTCAATACCCAATATTATTTCAGCGACCCAATACAACACGGTCCGCGGGTGGTATTCAATTCCAGTCTCTTTGTCCGGAATTGAAGTCTATAAATATAAATTGATTACCTGTGTTAGGCTTAGCCCGGTCCGCCCCGCCACACCATATCTGGGCCAGTGTTACCGTCGAACTTGCGACCAAACCCACTGTTGGCGACACTCGGCCACGTTCGGCTGGTCTCGGGCGTCTCCGTCACCCCTCGGCAACGCTCGGGCGTCTCCGCCACCCCTCGGCCAACTGTTGCGCGTCGCTCGGCTATCTTCGGCTCAACTCGGTGACAACAATGCTCTGCTCGCTCGATGAGCTGATTTATGTGAAAGCTCGCGCCGAGTCCCTTTGTAGGGGTTACAATAACGTCTGTGTAGAGTTTTGGGTTAATTTCACATCGATTTCACCTCCTTTTTACCAATGTTTTGGTGTTTTGTCCGTAGGGATTTGGCGCAAAGGTTAAGACGACTTGTTTATGGTTGGAAAGATAATTAATTGGATTATATTACTCAACAATATCATCTCCAAACGGCTCAAACCCAACCTCGAAAGGAACGTTTTATAATTGTGACTCTTTATAGGAAGATCGTCATGGTTTTTTAACAGCTGCAACTTCTTAACATTGTCCAAGAACTGTAAAATATCTAAAACAATGATTTTCTTTATTTTTATTCATAACTATATGAAAGCAATTTTCAAGACACACTCCACCCGGGTGATACTACAAAATCGTATTGAAAAAATATTTTCACAAAATAGCTCGACCATATTAGTAAGCTGCACTAAGGCTTGGATCATAAGGGTACAGTGGAAGACGACACACGTATATGCAGTATACTAATCCAGGACGGTAACAACAATAGTTAGAAGACTTGTTTTGATTCCCTAAATTTCCTCTAGTTTTAACTAATTTTTCCACATGAAAATAGTGAGTCTCTTTGGTGATTCCATTCACTCTCAGTTAGCCTTTAACCTATATTGTCGCCGGTAATCTTAAAGCGTTGTGATTTTATCCTAAAAATCCAGGTCGAAGTATTATTTCGCTGATATTCACAATTTTGCAACCCAAGGAGCTGCGGTCGTCCCCTGGGTACTCAGTCATTTGTAGATTACTCGCTGCCATTCATGGCTGTCTTGATGAGAAAACTCTGACCTCGATTTTGTAACGAGCATTTTGACGGTTTGGATTTTAAATATGAAATATTTTATACGCAACACCAATTAAATAGCAGTAACGCAGGGTTTGTTGCAATTCAGACACTTAAGCCGTAAACATTTTATTTGTAGAGCTTGAGCTTAAATAGGAATGTTAATACTTTTATATGTTGAATAAGATTGTTGGCCATACTATGACAACTTTTATATTGTATGCCTATCCAGTTCGAACTTCAAGAAACTATAAAAGTAATTACCCACAGACATTAAACAAAAATAAGGGAGGAAAATAAAATTAAACTCTTAGTTTAAGATCAATTGTCGATACAAACAAAGAAGATCAATGTATCTTTGGTTTTATCATATACACTAAGAGAAACATTTGCCAAGTTTACTAATGTAATTTCAATTTGAGATTGCATTGTTTTGGGGCTCACACTAAGAGAAACATTTGACAAGTTTACTAATGTAATTTCAATTTGAGATTGCATTGTTTTGGGGCTCGACCGTCCAATTCCGCAACACACGCATGGTTACCTTGTATAATGTGTTATAGCGGGAGCTGGGAGGGAATTGCGGTCTTTGGATCATAACAGATTATTGATTATTGTGATAATTGTGATGGAATGGACATCAGAATATAGCATTGTATCGGGAAAATGGCGCGAAAACTTCACTTTAAAAAAACTGGGCGTAAATAAAAAATATCACCGCCGCAGAAAACCTACAAACTTCGACTTCAAATTTTGATTCCCTGGATTGATGTTTTTTTATATAAAATGTTCCCTTTAAATTGTCACATTAACTTATTATATAAAAAAACAATAATTATTCTTATGATAGCTTAGGTTTGCTGCCACAGGAAAGGTGAAAAATTAAATTAGTTTTTATTAAAATGACAAAAACTTAAACAAAATTTTCCAAAATATATCAATAAACAAGCAAACTTACACAGTTTCTAAATTAAACGGATTAATTATTATTCTCTGTAATCAGGTATAAAACAACGGTTCAATATAAATACAAAATTATTTGTATGTTAAGCTTTACAACATAGTTTAGAGATAAATCGGGAAATTATATGTTTTCAGGGGGAAAATAACAAAGCCTATTTGTACCCTATTAAACCCAGTCCCAAGTCAGACAGAGAAATTTTATAATTATATTTATGATAATTATATTCGTCATTATTATTTACGATATGATGAAAAAATTTACTTACACTGTTTACAGTAAATAGTAAAATATGCCAATATTATGAAGTTCCTACACAAAATGACCAACTTAAACAGTCACAAGCATCCAACAGCTGACTTTGGTCTTTGGTTTTGTGGTTAAATTGCACTACTTGTTGTGTGGTTTGATAGAGTTCAGAAAAGCTGGACACTTAGGACAAAGTCCATCTTGCAGTTGCAATTTCGTAGTTGAATCTATATTTTTATGCAATGGTTTTAAAACGTGATTACTGTTATGGTTGCTGACTTCGTTAAAATATGTTAGATTTATTGATTTTTAAAGAGTCTAAACTTTTATTTTATCGTGTTGATTGGTTTTTATTATAGATTTTTAGTGGGATTTCATGTGAGTAGGCCTACCGTAATAATATTACCACGAGTTATGTACTAGTAGTTGCGTACACTACTTTACCTACGACGGTGTTTTAATTACTAAAAATCACTACTCATAACTTCTAAGAGAGGTTATGTTTTTGTTTATAAGCTCTCATTGCCACTGACAGTGATGCAACGAAACATTGTATCAAACACTAATTGCACCAATCAACAATTAAATTGGCCTGAACAGCTGATTAGTTGAATTTCGAATCATTACAATTTTGCTTCTCCTCTCTCAATCCTTGAACCTCGTTGGTCCGTTACCCGTGTTGTTATGAGTAAAACTATGCTGTTATGAAAGTAAACAATGCTGTTATGAGATACTTTTCAATTCTAAGAACTGTACTGAAACGGCTACTTTAAAAAACGGTCGTAGGTAAAATACTTTACGCCACACTACATTATTTTGACAAACTTCCCACGCAAGGATTTAATCCAGAAAACAGCTGTTTGCCGCCAGCTTATTCAAATGGGGTTTCATTGCGTACTACTGTACTGCAATGGGTTTTACCGGACACCAATCAGCTGATTATACTGTATTTAGGTGGCAATGAATCGTTATAAACAAAAACATAACCTCTTAGAGGTTATGACTAGTGATTTTTAGTCCTTAAGTTGGTGGAAATATATAAGGATTTGTACGGATTTAGTAGTATGGCGTAAAATATCGTACGTCACTCGTCCAATATGTGATTACCAGACTCGTATGGTAATCCCGTACTCGACTTCGTCTCGCACGGGAACGACCACACTCGTCCGGCAAACACCTATTTTCAGGACTAGTAACGTAATATACTATTTCGCTATTATACCAGCAACAGTTTTTTACTGCAATTTTGTTCGCTAATTATTAGACATATAGACTAACATAAATGTACTAATATTAATCATTTCGCCAATTTCGAAACATTAAATACTAGAAATCTAACTCATACCTTATTAGATTTTATCAGGCAGCAGATTTTAGCTAATTTCTTTCGACTTAACACAATGTAGAATTTCACAACACTCCCTATCATAATGCATCTTCTAATATAGGTTAATTGGTAAGTAATCACAATATTCACGATGGTGCTCGTCAATCGTAGTAATTCACACTAACGATATTAGCATTGTTGCTGTAGACAAGTCTATAATTATATACACATGATGAAGGGGGGGGGGGGGGTAGCTTCAACGGCAGCATAGCATTGTTGTAGTCTATTTATTGCAAAACTGACCGTACTTCAGCTGATTATACTGACACCTGTTTGAAACAACAACTTTGTTCTAAAATAAGTATATAAAGAAGCCGATTAGTGTGTAGTAGGTTAATAAAATTATAAGTAAAATAAATGTAAATATTTTGTTGATAACAGTAAAAATTTAGTTTTTTTAAATAAACTATAAATTTTTCAAGATTTCTTCTACAACCTGTACTTCGATTTTCCGTTCAGTTAAATGATAAAAAATAACAAAATACTTGTAAAATTTTATATTTAATATCGCATTTAGCTATAATATTTAAGCATTTAAATTTCATTTATTTTATTTTATAGTACAAGACGTTTTAGAGGGTATAAGCTTTTTCTTATTTATAATTTTAAAACTTTATACACAGTATATATTTTTGTTTTTTTACACTTCAAGAAGTCTATCATAATGGTATAACTTTCACACTAATTTAATAAACATAAATTTTGTGTTATCATCCTGTAAAATTTAGTTTTCAAAACGACTTTGTAAGGAAGTTTCTGAAGGCTTTGGTTGTATTTATGGACTGATCAGAACATACAATTTATGGTCCAAAGGCTTTAGACAGCTTGGGGACTTAAGTTATTTGTTACTCACCTTCGAAACTCTAACAGGTAAACTCACGGTTAAAGTTACAGGAACCAGTTTTTATTTTATTTAGAAATCGTTTTCCTTATTCAAAAAACAGTTCTATACTAACTAATTTAAATTGTGATTTAGAACATAGGAATACATAGCAAACGTTTAAACACCGTGTTAGTTGTAAATTTGTTCAATTAAATGCAATTAGGTGTCAGCTTGAATAAGGATAAATGCTATGCTGACTGAATACTACCATACCATTACCTTAAACCTTATCTACGGCTTAAGCTTAAATACCACACTGTAAACGTTAAATATTCAACTATATTCAACGTAAATACAACCACTTTCTAAAGCAAATTAATTAAAAGTTCCTAAATCTAGGTTTAAAACTAGCAATAATATTTTAATTTCTGGAGGATCTACACAAAAATTTACTTAATTTCATTTTTATTTGGATGTTTTGGGAACTTGTATGTACAGAAGCGGTTTAAACTATTGCATACATTCTGGCAATGGAATAAACCAGACAAAATATCATAAGTCAAATGAGC